CGTGAAGCAATTTTTGACCAAAAACGCCATGACACCAATTGTCCACCCCCCATACTCACCGGATCTAGTCCCCTGTGACTTCTTTTTGTTCCCCAAATTCAAAACGAATATGAAAGCACATTGTCGCGTTCTATGATTGTTGCGACAAGAATTATTATATATATATATATATAAATAACATAAAACAACTTCCATTGAAATATAACATCTTAAGTATTAAATACAATAATCGATATTTTTTATGTGAATCAATAAAGAAAAAATTGATAATGTATCTTTTTGATATGTAGCGGAATTAAGTTAAATACCAACATAGAAATTATTGAGCAATTATATTATTAAAAAAGGAAATTTATCGCGAGTTAACAGAGTTTCAATTTATTAATTGTTACATTTTCAATTACACATTTATTTTGAAAATAATAACAATAAACTTACGAAATAAAAAATATTGCTAAAATCAGTGCACTACATCTGTTTATATTTTATTCAAATTAATGAAATATTTAAAAAAATAGTAAATTTAGAGAGCTTTTACTGATATTTATATATTTTTAAGTAACAAAGAAACGTACCCTTCATAACTACGCAATAGATTTAATAATGAATCTACTAAATGATCGTTAAATATTCGGGAAAAGAAGAAGTTCCATTATAAATCCATTATCTTGATAAAAATAAAGTTAGTAATAGAGAAAGAATGGAAAAAGATACGTAGGGTTGCCAACTTCAAAATTCAACCGATATCCAGTATTTTCACGCGAATTATATAAAATTATCTGCTTTTACTGGCTATAACCGCAACTCTTATTTAAATGATTTCGGAGGTATATAATAATTCAAAATAAAGCTATGTGTAATTAAGTAAAAACAATTATAACATTTTTTTTATTTATTAACATTTTTCTTTATTTATTAAAATATATGAATATTAAATAAACGTATCTAAAATTCCTTAGACTGGCGTTCCATGGTGCGGAAATTTACAGCTCAGTGATGAATTTTTACAAAATACACAGATAATATTTTTACAAAATTTTTTAATTGATGAGTTGATAAAAAATGTTCATAAAAATTGTAAACAAATGGAAAATTATTTATTTATATGAAAATGCTAAATTAAAAATAATCCATTCATAGAACAATTTAAGATCTTTAGAATCGAACTTTTAATCTCAGAAAATTTTGCATTTTTTTATATGACTAATGGTTTCGATATAATTATTTGAATGTTCGCATGAGCGACATTTTTTATAAATTTATGCAAATTACAAATCAATAACTTTACAAAAAAAATCTCACATTTTTTTCGCAAACGACACGTGTCTCATATTTTTATCTGTAGAATAGGTATGTTAGCAAATTTAAAATAATGAAATGGTTCTGCCAGCTTAATATTAAGATAGCAGCGCCACGATTTTTTTCACACACGGTACAAAATTATCATTAATGATATAATTTAGTACAAAATGCGTACTGAAAATTCCGATAGGTCTGATTTGATTCTACTGATTTGGTCCTGCTAGCCTTATAGAGCTTTACAGCGGAACGGAACAGCGCGACCAATTATAGCATAACTTTGCAGTCATTACTCTCCTTTTTTTTCTGCGACTGTGATTGGTCTCGCTATTTCCGCTGTAAATTTCCGCTCATGGGACGTCAACCTTCAATCTATTTT